TTTAAGAGTTTCAAAACTTTCCCTAAAGTTTTGAAACTTCTTGTGCATGTGCATTGTGCGATTTTAAAGCTTAAAACGGCTATAACTCATTCACAACGGTCATAAATGACTAGAAACTCATTCCAACTGATAAAAACAACAAAGGGATACTTGAAAAAGATCACTACACCTATCAAAGCTTAAAGATCAAGAGAAAAGAGTTTTTATTCTAAATTTCTTTATTTTCTCTTGTATATAGTGTATCGAGCCTTATTGAATATCTTTGTATTCATCATTTGTGAGATTAAATAGTTGTAAACGCCTATCTAGTGAGGTATTTTTATTTACCCAAATTAATCCTTGTAAAAGGAGAGTGGTTCTAATTTAGCCTTAGAAAAAAATAGATTGGTTTTATCTTTGCCATTGAAAAGATAGGTTGTAAAGTTACACCTTATCCTTAAAGGTAAGAACAAATTAGTAGATTTGTTAAAATCTTAGTTTTGAAAAGCTAAGGTAGTAGATGTAAACTTTGGTTGAAAAAGTTGAACCACTCGATTTATGCCAAAATTTTTAATTATTTCTTCAAGTTTCCACCAAACTCCATCAAAGCCAATTCACCCCGATTTTTCGATTGATTGGTCGAGCTTAACAAATCTTTCATATTATAATTGTTGCACAAACCCATTGATATCAATACATGGCAACAAATCGACCAATCAACCTCGTAAAGTTTTCGTGCTCATCTTTTGTCGTATTGTAGTCAACGTTAATAACTCTACCAATTTTTTAGGCTAGTAAATGAAACAACGACTTGGTGTAATATATGTACGAAAGTCCTGTGAGTCTAATCTAAACAATGATTTGGGAAGGCTGCTTTTTCGAGGTAGCGTAGTTTTGACTCCACAACTGAACTGTCAAATAGAAATCGACTATCACCCATGGTCCCTCCATGAGCACCTTTGCATAATCACTAACTCAAATTTAACGAGATAATAATCATTATCAAGGTCTACCAATTAAAACGACCTTGAAACTACTAGAGCAATTTGATTTTGTTCTAAAGGACTCTATAATCAATAGGTTTTCCCAATAGGCGGACAATAATCGTCTTCCTCATGTTGTGATCAACCGAATCCTGAACACAGTTCAAAAATTGGACGATAGGATAGGGGCCACTCTTATCCATGATAACATCACCCTTTTGAAGTATCATATCCTCCTCACCAAAACTCGGGGTCTCCACTTGACCATCACTTGTGTTCCCTGTTAACATCACCACATAAGTGTTAGAACTAACCACATCTTTCACATCTAATCCGCCCGACAAGTCCTGTCCAGCATCAATAGTACCCATTACGTCTCCCACTATTGCGTTTAGGGATTTAAATAACGTTCGCAGTCGCGTTTTCGGGTGCATCGCGTTTATCGCGATTGCGGACATAACGAATGCCATTGCGGTCATTACAGGTGTCGCGGTCGTGAATTTTTTTAAATTTCGCACAACTTATCCTAAAACATAATAACTATAATTATAATTATAAAGTCTCATTTTTAATAATTTTTAGAATGTTTTCTAAGTTAAAATGACATTTATATTATATAGTTTAATCAAACAGAAAACTTTAAAACCCAATGATAAGATAAGATTACTAAATCAAATAGAATTAAAATAAAAATATAAAATTTAAATTGTAGAAATTTAGATTATTGAAATTAAGACTAAATTAAATAAAATCTAAAGTTTACATTCTAAACTAAATATTCAATTTTAAATTTTAAAGATGGGACTAAATTATAGATTTTAAAAGATTGGAGAGAGTGATGGCAAATAAACATACCATTTAATTTTAGAATTAATTTTAAAAATAAAAAATGGAAATATGAGGGTAAGAGTGGGACGGGCAAAAAAACCTTTAAGATATAGGAGTTGAGGAAAATTCCAGAACCTTTCTTCTTTTATTTTCTAAACTCTCATCTCTCTCAACTCCCTCAAATTCCATCTCAATTCTCTCAACTTTTGACTGTCAAATCTTTAAGGCTCTTAATTTTTTACCTTCAATGGAAGCTCGTTCTGTTACTCTCTTCTTCATCGGCGGCAAAACATAACAGACGCAAGATTTCCTTCAAAATAACTTTGTCTTGCCGGTTTGCTCCCGTTCTATTTTAATCTTTGCCTCTTTGGTGAGTCTTGATTTTGAACTCTTGATAATCCATATGCTCTCTCTCTTGATTTTTGGGTGTAAATTTAGGTTTTTTTACTATTTTGGGAGTAACGGTGGAATAGCGTTAATAGCGTACCGTTATCGACGCTATCCACCGTTACCCGTTAGATTGCGGACGTAATGGACCGCTGTCGACATAAATCCGATACCCACCGTAAATTTGTTAATATCAGTTTCGGACGGCGACACTACCACGAAATAACGGCCGTATAGCATTTGTGGTCCGCTATTTGAATCCCTAATTACGTTAAGGAGTGTTTTCAAACTAGCACCTGAAGATATCGCTCCACCATCGTTCAATAATTGTTTACCACCATGAACAACCCCATTATGATTCCTACCCAACGTGCTTTGGGCCTCCGCCGCCAATGGAGCCATGAACGTTCCAATACAAGTGACACACGGGTTCTAGTCGTCGCCGCTACTTTCGACTGTGAAAGTACCCTCATGCAAAACCTAATGTACACAGCACAAATTTTTACTAAATTTGACTCATGTATAGTATTTTTATGGTTCACAATTTTTAATATTTTATTTTTATTTAACAATAAAACTTAAATAAAATAATATTATTAATATTAATAAATATTGAATTAAATTTAGAAACAAATATGAGTCAATTCAATAGTAAATAAATTTTTTAAGGATTAAATTAAACAAAAATAAAACTTGAGAGATTTGACATGTCATTTACCGTTTCATTAAGGCGGATTTGACATGATCAAAATGGTGCTGACGTGGCATGATTTATTGATTGATAATTCTTTTTTACAGTCAGGGTAATTTGAGAAATATTTGTAAATGTTATACAAAAAAAGTAGATATTAAGTTAGAAAAAAAATTAAAGAGTTGACATAACGTTATGATAAATCAATTTATTTCATATTATGATATGTCGTTTTTCAAATTATAGTTACTTTTTAAGATAAAATAAGTAATTTCTGTAAATATTAAGGACAATGTTAAAAAATCGTAATATAATGTTAAAACTAGTCCTCACTATTTACTAAAATAGTCATTTTATTCATGTTCTATCTTTTTAGAGCATTTTGACCTCTAAAAGCTAAAAGTTTAAATATATTATCTATCAAATCTTAATTCATTCAAGCTACCAGTATTTATGCCCCCCCCCCCCCCAATAAGCATTAAACCTATAGAGAAGTTTGTTTGCATCCTCAACTGCTTAAATCAATGCAAACAAAGGTGAAGGCTTGGAGAAAACCTTCGCTTGGGAATGATTGATTTTACCTCTCAGAAAGTCTATTGTTTGTTGCAAGTGGATCTAGAAGAATAAAACACATACTTATATCTCGATATGAAATTTAAGAGAATTTGAATAAATATATCTTGATAATAAATAGACTTTAAAAAATTTTAAGTTCGTTTAAAATATATAGGTTGAGTTTGAGCTCCATTATCTAAGATTCGTGACCGATCTTTCTAATTTTTTAATAAATTTTTTATTATTTTATTTTATAATTTATATCACAAAAATTAAATTTATCATAATATTATAATATAAATATAAAAAAATATATTAAGTTGTTCATGTATAAAAAATAGAAGAAACAAATTTAATAAAATTATATGAAATCATTAAATATTAAATTAAAAATAAAATAACTATGAAATAAAGTCAGGGTTTAAACCCTATTTTTCTCTCTTTTTCTTGTGTTGTCATTAGTTTTTTTTTCTTTTTATATCTTTGTAATCGACGACGACACTAACTTTTAGTGTTAGTCACCGGCCATCGATGTTGATTGTTTTTTCTTTATTTTGTTAGGTTTTATCTTTATATTTTTTTCTTGTTTTTAATTTTTTAATAACTACACCACGTTTCCTATGTTTTTGGCACATTTTCTGTCATTTAATCATTATTTTTATCATTTTTCTCATTGTCGGATTTGTTATCATATTGATCTTCTCTACTTTAGATTCTCATATTTAATTTGGATACATAATTTACATTCGTAAATAGTTTTCTCACATCACTCGATTCTGATTTACAATTTATCAATAATCTTTCAATAAGATCCATTTTGTGTTTTATTTGCTGATACGTCAAATATATTCATATCTATCTTTTATTCGAATTTATTTGATTAAGTTTTTAACATTTTCCTTATATGGTCATTATTAAATGACTAATTTTTGTGTTAATTGTTATAGGAAAATATTCTTATTATGTTTTTTAGTTTACTGTTGTGATTGTAAATTTTCATTGTAATTTGAATTTTTTTTTTTTAATTTCAATAAAACTAGCATTTTTTATCTTGTAAAAAATTAAAAATAAAATAAATATTTTTTAAAATATCAATATTGACGGCTCGAAAATAAGATTAGGTTGGGCATTTACAACGATGAATTTGAGCAAACTTTATGAAGATATTTCAGATTAGATCAAATTTCAATGATCTTTTGTTTTTCTCATTCTCCTTGGGAGGCGTGGTTGGTTGGAAAAAAATTCTTCAACTATCATCAATTTTGGTTTTCGTAAAAAAGCCAATGATTTCGCTTTGTTCATTCCTTGTAGCTCACACGGTGATGCATTTTACTCCTTTATGTGCAAATATGATATCATTTTGAGCGATAATAACTAATTATGATATTATCAACGAGAGTTGGCTCAAATGATAAGTAATTTGATATCGCTTAAATATGTGTCGAGTTTGAAACCTTATGTAGGCAGAAAATTCCTACTGGATCCACCAACGCGGGTCGGTCTGGATAGTCAAGATGAAACCTTGGAACCAAAAGTACAAAAAAAAAAAAGACTAATCATGATATTGGTATTGCAATGCCCTCCCATGTATGTAAAAAGAAAGTCATTGGGGACAAGAAGTTGTACCTTAATTTACCACGTATGTTGAGGCTTCCCTACAAGGATTCTGCAAATTGGGTAGCCTCCAGGTCCAGCTCTTGTCTCATCACACAGTTCATCAACCACTCGCTGTTGAAAGCTCGTATTCCTCTCTTTTGAGCTGATAGTGCTTCCTCCATGTCTTCTTCACACGCAATCAAGATTGTTTTCCATACTTCTTTTACTTTGTCCAGTCCACGTATAATCTTACATCAATAAGTAACAAACATCAGATAAAGCTTACATCGACTGCCATTTGATGATGTAAAGCATTGATTCAATTATGCTAGATTAACAAATATATCACTACTGAACTCGTGGAGTACTTAATCAGAGCAAGATGTCAAGAGCTTACATTTCCACCTGCCAACTTGATGACGGCAGATAGAGTCCTGACAGGGGGTTGAACATGAGCTGCAATGCACAAGTTATATCCTTTAAGCATAGCTCCAGGCCTTGCTTTTGCCCGAAAAACAGAATCTTTTAGCTCAGTTCTGTACTTCAACGCGTAATCTTCATCGTGTAATATATAAGGCAACTCATCTGTAGGGTAAGAAAGAAAGTTGAAACTTTCAATAGCAGTTTACAAATGATAAGCAGTCAAAATCTATACTTTCTTTTCAACTCACCCACAAATTGTCCTTGCCTAAAGCTTTCTTTTAACCAACTCGGTGAAACTATCCAAGCCCTGCATTAAGTCAAACCTCCATGCAGTGAATATAAAACGCATCAGATGCATTTGTGCAAACTAATATATTTATTTTCAAACATCCATGATTCAGAGCAAGGAGTCTTGCAATGAAACGAGCTGAGAAACAAACGAAATTAATATTAATAAAAGATGAAAATTTCCATTTTTATGGAAATAATAATATGCCTTCGACAATGCTTATAAACTATGGTACAAAATGCTAGCATGCAAGTTGATCTTTTCTGACATTTAAACAACATTGCTTTTTATGCTATCAGTACTACGTTGCCATTGATGTAGCAGATAAAATCCATATCAAACCAAATAGGGAATCAAAGGGTATTGCACAAATGCTCACCTAATAAAGTGTCAATAAAAGAAAGCTTCCCCAAACCTTTGAACAAAAGAAAATACTGTACCTAATTTCTTGCAAAGTAGATATCTTTAAATTACTTGGTACTATCTTTAAGTTAAGTACCATCATTCCCTCCCTTCTCTCTCTATTCAGTTTCCCTCACCCTTTTCTCTCTCTCCTCAAATCTCAGTTCTTTTTTTATTCAGATTGAACATTGTTAATACAAATACCACATTGCAAACTGTTATATACTATAGGAGCCATAAAGGACATTAACCCATTTAACATAAATACAAAATAATCTAGAAAACAAAATGTAAAGAAAAAGAATCTTAAAGCCATTTCACATTCAATCCCATCACTAATAGATTTCATGATTTTTTTTCATTCCTGTATGTAGAGAGTCGTAGACAGTAGAAAAATATACAAGTTGATACGTTCAATGATATTAAATGGTTCAAAACAAAGGATGTATCGTATGACATATTCATATTATCCATGAAAGCAAAGCCAAAGTAGTTTAACATCCAACTGAGACTTACCCTGAACAGAGAGCAATACAGAAATTCAGTGTTTTTCTCACTTTTCCAGTGACAATATGTGTGCTTATGCTTCCATCAAAGGTAGGAGCGCCACCAAGGTTTTCAATTACCTATATCAAAATAAATAAAATGCTTATAACATTTTTGTCAAATAAGGCAGGAAAAATTACCGGGTAAATGAAACTGAAGCAAAATCTCAACATCAATAAACTGAACCAAGTAAAATATTAACAAAGCCTATCGCTGAGTGAATAGAGTTCTATTTCAACTTGGAGAAAAAGCATGGCCAGTGTAATGTAAAAGAATAAAAAAGAAAAAAAGAGAGGTTAATCAACCAGAACTTGCAGAATCTGAAAACTTAAACGATAATGCATTTTCCTGTGGAAAGTAATTTAGAACTGCATAAAGCTCTTTTAAAACTTTAGAAACCATACATGGTACAAGATTTTCATCATTTAGCAATAGACTAGACTACCACTCAGGAAGCTAGCCAGACTTTCCTACTGTAATCCAGAGTTAGGTATGTAATTGATATATTTGGAGATTTCAGATGTATTAGAGCTGCTGGTACACCCGAGAAAGAATAATTGGCAGCTTCCCTTGAAGCTTTAACCAGGCTTTTGGCTTTGAAAAACAATTTATAGCGCAATGTATGGTCACATCTTTTAGAACCTACAAGTTCACTAGTCAGGACAGAGCTGGGTTCCCAGTCCCAGCTCCTGCATAAACACTGAAAAAAAGATACCTTTGTGCAGTTTTACGACTTCAATTGTCTAAGATTTACAATCTCTTCAATAAGATAACAAAAAGTTAGGAGGCATCCTAGAACAAGTTTGCTGTAATAACTAATAATATATTGAACTGCCAATTTTTGAATTTAGAAAGACATAACAGCATATAACTTCAGTTGACGAGAATGCAAAGACTTGCAACTTCTTAAAAGGGAGAAACAGAGAAGTGCAAGATTGTTTAAGGAAGAGTTTTCCTTTCTTCAGCAGTCAATTCGTTGACTTCAATTAAAGCAAATTTCTTTAAACTTAATATTAGGAAACATGCTTTCGGGGGCTTTTTGAATGTTGTTTTCTTGTGGAAACACTAGTTAATGGCAGATAAAATCATGTGAAAGGATTAAAAAAAGGTTAAATAAGACTTCAGCATGGGCAATACGACAAAATTATGGCCAGCCTTACAGAGTATGAAAGAAATCAGTTTGTCGTACATGTATTAATTCACATCAAATGAAATAAATAAAGTGAACATACCTTTATAAGGTTTGCTTTCTTTGAATCATCAGCAATATCCATCAACATAATTCTAAAGCATTCTCTATGTAGCTGAAATTCTTCAGTTGTCAATGCTTCTGGAGTCATACAACGTGGTCTACCTTCTTGAGCTTTATTTAGCATGCAATTATTAACCAAAGAAACCCCAGGAGTAACTGCCATGGATGATTTATCTGTTGAAAGGAAGGAGCATCCATCAAGCTGGGAACCATCAATATCTGGGATTATATGCCAGTCAGAAGCTAACTGACAACCATTTTGATGACTGTCAATTTGCTGAGTTCCCTTCAATTTTTTTGTCTTCAAAGATGACAATGAAGCTTCCCAAACCTTCCTCTTTGTTCCCTGTGAAACACAAGAACACTGTTTGGCGACAATGTTGGCTCCCTTCTCACCTACAGATCCATCAGCAGCTGGTGATTGAGACTTCTGGCAAGGTTTTAGTGGAAAACAGAAGCTCACATTTTCTCCCGCAACTGACGTATCCTTATTAAGGTGACAAACCATAAGGGTTGAACCACCAGGAAAGCATAGGGCTTTGCATAGAAAATCTCTAATAGGAAGCCGATAAGCTCTACCCTTTTTGTCCACTTCTGCTATTGATATAAAGCCCTGGAATTTTCAAGTATCACATAAATCGAGCATCAAAAAGGCCATAGCCTTTCTCAGCATAAATGACTAATGATTTTTGTTTCCAAGTAAGATACTTACACATCTACAAAAAATATCTGTCTATACTATTTTAAAAAGGATGACTGAGTTGACATCACGAGAATTTAAAAATTACCTAATAGTCCATTTTTTTAAACAAAATTTTATTTCGTTTTTTTTTTCTTATCAACCATTCACATAGTGAGTGAAGCATTATCTGGTATATGTTAACTAAATTAATTAACATGTTTTACAGGATGAACCTTGTTTTTTAAACATGTAAACTGCATCAAAAAGAAGATTACTTCTTTTGCAAGATATATTCTCATTTACATTAAGAATACATGAACATGTCAGCCAGTTATGGTATGTTCCATTCATTACCTGTTTAAGCCAAAAACCTTCAGATTCCATGTCACCCCAACAAAAAATGGTCCGAATACCAACACTTTGAAGTCTCTTCCTCAATTCCATAAACAATAATTGGCCAACACCCTGAAAGTATTGAAATATGACAGTTAGCTTAAAACACGAGACACCTAAACTATCATCCAACAGTTAGACAGCCGGAATGCATATGAGCAGAGCTCAATAAGTTCTGAAATTCCTGCAGATTCTAACCAAACCCCCTCAGAATAAGATCCATTCATGTAAAACTATATTTGCACTTTTTTTAATTCCAACTAGTTTTTTCATATTATCTAAGCTGCTTTTGAATTTTCACTGAATAGAAAAGATTATTGAATCACATGACGAGGCAATTATCATAATTTGACAAACATCAATCCATAGTGTTGTGAGATACGGAACAATTCCAGTCATCAAGCAATCCTGAACGAATGATATTTTGAATAATAACAAGCAACAAACCAATGAATGCAAACAAATAGAAAGAGAACAAACCTTATGCTGGTAGATTGAATTAACAGCAGCAAGAGGGATCTCAGCAAATTGTGTGTCAGCAGGGATGATTTGATAAGTAATTGCAGCTATAACCTGCAGAAGTATCAAGTGAAAGATACTAAGAATAATACAAAAGGATTTGCACATTTCCTTTTTGAACTTTCATAGGTGACTGAACTAAATAAATTAATGCAACTAGATATAAATTTTGATAAAAAAAATGCTTAACTTCTTCATAGTAAATTACTCATAATATAGAATTGAGAGGAAAATTACATGGCCAAAAGAAGAGGTGAAGACGTAAAATTAACCGACCCATATAGCAAGCTTCTCTAGTAATGCACCTTACAGATTTCATAAGTTTAGAGCATGATAAAAAGTAAAAGGACAAGTTATTGAATAATATTACTGCCTTACCGGTATGAAATTGTAAAAGGTAATGAAGAACAGCTATTGCAAGATAAGCTTTTATAATGATGATAAAGAGAGAGAAACAAATAATGAAGTCTACCTGCTCAAAGTGAAAGACTTCACTGGACTTATACTTCAGAATCAATGTAGAACATTTTCTGCAGTAACAACAAATGTACAATTAAAAGCTTCTTTGAATCTGCAATTTATTACCACAACGATGTTTTTTTTGACAATTGTATTACAAATTCTAAACAAACTTATTATAATTATCAGATAAACTAAAAACCTTTAGCATCATGTAAAAGTACTTTAAAAGGAAAAGAAAAAAAATCTGGTACCCGTTTGACACACATCTCTCAAGAAACCTAGACTGCTTTCCAGTATTTGCAGCACAATTTAGTGATGGTAGCTCCCCATTGTATAATTTCAGCACTTCCTGCAGAATCAAATTTGATCATGGCACTGACAAGTTAATTGATTGCACAATAAAAGGTACAATAAAAAGATATCAGATAACCAAGAGGAGCACCCTGGATACTCTACTAAAAACAAAGGTCAATCTCTTATTACAAGAATCTTCAGTTCAGATAGTAAAAGAAAAGAATCATTCTTGAAAGAAGACTAGCATGAGGATGCACACGACAGAAAGAGAGATAAAATAAATGTTTATACCTGAAGATAAGATTTTGTAGCACCATCGACATCTTTTGAATTAACAAGGATTAACTTATACTCATTTTTTACAGCACAACATCCATCTTCATCACCTGGATAAACCCCATAAATATAAACACGGGATAAGAAATCAATCTAATTTCATACAATACAAGAAAATTTTCGGAGTATCAATAAAACTTAAGAGAAGAATTAGAAACTAAATTCAGTAAAATGGTAATCTTACCTTTTTGTTCAGATTCCAAGGGCAAAAGGTCATTAACAGACTTTGAATTCATCTCTTTCCTAACTGCAACAAAAAATAAAGTAAACAAATAAACTTACAATCTCAAATATAGAAATGACTAAAAAAAGTAAGTACAAACAATCTGATTTGAAGGAAATGAAACATTTAACATTCTGAGACTTTTATTTTATTTCATATCATAAGTTAATGTTGCATATAAGTAAAAAAAAATCACTTCCAATTAATTTAACTTTGTTTTACCTTTCTCTCGAGTATAATATAATACAAGTAGCAAAAACGATAACCAAATGAAGTCTGTCTTTTTTTAGTTTTCTTTATTGCATTTTCTTCATTTTATTTCCTCCAGCAACCAAACAAGAAGGCCGTACAAACCTGGACATGCGATTTTAGTTTTTTTTGTTTGACTATTTTTTATAACTACAAATTCTAGGTATTTTGAACACATAAAAAGTGATAGAGAAATCAACATAAACTAATTCTATTAAATTAAGAAAAAAAAATCAAAACCTGATATATTGATTTTTGTGCTTTTTGAGATTGAGATTTGGAGGGTGTTAGGATCAGAATTGCAACTATACTTGTTGGCTTCTATCAGAACCTCGCAATTACCTGTGAAATGAACAAATAAAAACATTGAAAATAGTTGAGAAAATTAGGATTTAGAAGATTTTAAATGGACTAGAGTGACTTTACCGATTTGGATTCGAGAAGGCGACGAAGAGCTTTTCATTCGCGCCATGTTTCTTTGTTAATTGAAGTTTCAGTTCAGAAGAGCGCAGCGGAAGATAAATAAAGGGGTTACAAGGGTGTTTTGGGTAATTCCATCGAATTTTGTGAAATTCCTTATTTTTGGCGCCAAGTATTTGGAACGCTTTCTTCAATTGATTACTTAGTTAACTTAGGGAAAACTACGCATTTAATACTTAAATTATTAATTTTGGTTTGTTTTAATACATAAATTTTTAAGTTTTTCAAAATCATACCTAATGTTTGGTTTTTATTTCATTTTAGTACCCGTCATTAAAAACTTTAACGTGTTTAATACCTAAACTATCAGTTTGGTCTGCTTTAGTAGATAAACTTTCTTTTTTTCCAAAACTTAATGTTAAGTTTTAAACGATATACTAAAATGAAACAAAAACTAAATTTAAGTATTATGTTGAAAAAATTAAAAGTTTAGATACTAAAAGCACCAAAACTGATAGTTTAAATACTAAATAGTAGTTTATCCATTAATTTATTTTGAAAAGAAAATATCTGACTTTCTTTGAACATTGATGGTCGAACGTGGCAAATGATATCTTCCATTGATGCACCTGTTACAACATTGTCAGTTCCTGTTGACATTGAATGATACTTTGTTAGTGTTAATTCTAAAGAAAGATAAATCAAATTGTATGAAAGATTTGTGCCCTATAATGCTTTGCAATCCACTTTATGGAATGACTTAACATAAAAAATTGCCTAAATTATATTTTTTTCATTTAGGTGTCTAAATATTTTTAGGACTCGTTAGATAAATCGACTCTATACGTATCCCTTTTATTTTAAAACTCACTTAGGTCCAAATACACAATACTCAGAGCTAGGCTCATCATGCCAACCTTACCATTTAATCTTTTCAGATCAACGCACCAACCTTACCACTTGTATTCCCTTTCACACACATATAAAAAAACCATAGGGTACCCCTTTCTAGACATGTCTTTCATATACAAATATTCAAATTAAAAACAATATGTTAACAGATCCATGTTCACCAAGAGTAGTTGACACAAGATGCATAGCTTTTACATATACATTTCCAAATCATAATTCAAAACACATATCACATTGGTTGTCATGATCAATCTTATTTGGATAGCAAATAGCTCGCTCATCCATGGATACTGAAGTCATTCCACTCATCCCATATCACATATTTTCATACTCCTTCCATTATAGATTTTCAAAATAGCTATGCATCAAGTGTAACATATGCAATTTACAATTCATAATTCATATCTCACATCATATGCACATTTCCAATTCACATTCCATAAATAACATCCTTCCAATGCATCATAATTCATAGCCATCATTTTATGATATACATACATTCGCAATGATCACATACTTCCAATACATCATAACTCATAAGCAACATGCCTTACTACACATGCTTGCAATAAACGTCCACTTCCACTGCATCAAATCTCATAATTAACATACTTTGATACACATGCTTGCATTAATCATATGCTTCCAATGTCCCATAAGTAATGTCATAAGATACATGCTCATTATGATCACATGTTTTAATCAACACATTATGAATTTTTATCATCAATAACAACAACAAGTATTCCTACTTTAGAACCTTAGATTTAGAGTTCACTCACAACTAAACCTTCATTCAACATTGAAAGCATTCATCACAATGAACGGATAACCATTCATCTCGATGGCGCAATCACGTGATTCAACCTCAAACGCCTGTTAACTCGTTGCCAAATATTGACACGCTATTTTTACCTCATCATAAACTCACTAAGGACCTTAGAAAACATATTAAGACGTCACCAAATCATCTAAAACATAGCACAAAATTTTCTACCAAAATAGAGCGAAAGTTAAACAAAGTATCGAAAATATTATCATACAAGCAATCTGATCCATCTAACTCTTTGACACTTCCTTCCTCAACCTAAATTTAATCAAAAAAAATCAAAATCAACATATAAACACAATTAATTAGCCTAAAAACAACAACAATCAAACAAATTCCTAGATTTTCAAAAAATGGCAAAATCAAGTTTGTTTTAAAGAAATCGATATGCAAATCTTTTGCAATTAAACAACTGATTTAATATGATTATAATAATATCATAAATACATTAATAATCTCAAGAAAACCTTTAAAATACCTCAATAAAATCAGCTCATTAATAACTTTGAAAATCACTTTTAATTCATAGACTCACAATTGAAAAGAATGATCTATCAAGATTGTTATTCTTATGGACCTTTCAATTATTGAAGCAAAAAAAGAAACCAAGATTAAAAATACCTTGTTATAATTAAGGAAAGAAGAAGATGATGAAAATTAAGAAGAATAAACAATCAATGAAACTCCTATGGAGAAAGGAAGGAACAACAATGGCTTGGAAATGTAGCAAGGATGAATCAAGGAATGAAAGTAAAGAGAATTGATCAAAGATCAAAAAAGAGATAATAGCAAATGGAAGAGATATTTTAGGCCATGGGAGAGAGTTTTAGAGAAAGTGAAGCTTTGAGTAATGATCAAATGAGAGGGAAAATGAGAAGTAGTTACTAAATGCTGACCCGAAACTACTAAGCTAAATTTTGGGACATTACAAAATGCGAAGATTATAAATTATATTACATCATTCTGACAGCTAGATGATGAGAATATGTATGAAGCATGAGAGAGATTTGAAAAACTATTTTGAAAATGTCTGATGTATGATTTCAAGAATTGGATACAAATGGAGATGTTTTATAATGGATTGAATGCTCATACTAGAATGATTGTTGATGCATCCACCAATGAAACGCTGCTAGGTAAATCTTACAATGAAGAAATCGATATCTTGGAGAGAATAAACTATAAAAACTATCAACATCCCACTTGCAGTATTACACCTACAAGAAGAGCTATCAGAGCTATTGAAGTTGATGCCATCACAATGTTGACAGCCTAGGTTTCATCATTAGCTAATAATGTAAAGACAATGTAACAATCGCTTAAATATCATGAAGAGAAAGCTGCAACATTGAATTATGTTTATTATGGAGATAACCACCACTTTCAAGAATGCATCTAAAATCCAAAGTCAGTGTATTATGTGAACAACAAAAACCAGACCAATCCATTGTAATACCCCAAATATAAGGTCAGTGACTATATTGAAATGATTTAAAATTTGGAGGATTAAATTGAATAAATGGTAAAGTATAGGAAATTATTTGATTAAGACCAATTAGTATGAATGGGAGAATGAAAGGGTATTTTGGTCCTTTAGAGGGAAATGGATTTAAAATTCATTTTTATTAGGGATTTAAGAGAGAAAATGGGGAAAGTTAAAAGGCTAAGTTATGTTCTTCTTCTCCGTTGCCCATGCTCTCCCCATAACCAAAGGTAAGTTTTCTTCAAGTGGGTTTTCCTTTAGTTTATGGGCTGGTTTTGAAACCTTAAGTGATATAGAGGTTTAAGGAGAGTTCAATGATGATTGAAATTAAGTGATTAGTGAATTAATTGAAATTGAAGAAAATGGGTTTTTGATTGATATGATGAAATATGAGTTTTTATTGAGGATTACAAGTAAATTTGACTTGTCAAAGAAGTAAATAAATGATCAGAAGCCTTGGATGTGATTAAAAACGTGTTGGAAAAAGTGGTTTGATTCTTGGTTTGGAGTGTTCTTTAGAGAATTTGGATGTTATAGGAAAAATTAATGAAGGAAAGTTAGTTGGGCTAAGTAATGATGAGTTTAATGGTACTGTTGGAGGTAAAAGTAAGAGATTTAAACGAAATTTGTGTAAAAATCGAGCTAAAAAATGGAAATTTTGGGTAAGGGTATCGTTAATGGAAGAACAGTATCGATACTATAGGTTTAAATTTGGGAACATAGGATGAACAATATCTATATTGTTGTGGATATCAGTACTAAGAGGAAGGTATTGATACAATGGATTCCATAATGCATAAATGGTATTAATACTGAAAGGAGTATTAGTACCATATTATAGAAGTATCAATACCATACTAGGGGTACCAATACTATTGAGTCTGGAATGTTGTAGATAGGATGAATTTTAATAGAAATTGAATATAATAGTACTTTTGAGTATTATTAAAGTATAAATGTTAGATAGTATACTAACATTTGTATGGTATGTGTAATAATGGATGCTTGTGTAGATCATAACCAAGCTCCAAAGTCAAGAAAGAAAAAGGGCAATGATAAAGTTATCGAGTAGTCGGACATCATTACAACATTCTAGTGAGGCATACCAGGTGAGTGCATTTATTATGTACATTAAAAGTTATAGATGCATGTTGTTAAATGCATATGTTACATTTTTATATCAGTACTATGTGTACTATCAACACTAAGTGTGCAACCCACGTAATTCATAATATGTTTATGAACGATCGTATCAACACTAAGTGTGCAACACACAGAATTCATAATATGTTTATGATCGACCGTATCGGGCACTAAGTATGCAACCCATGAAATTCATAATATGTTTATGAATGATCGTATCGGCACTAAGTGTGCAACCCACAGAATTCATAATATGTTTATAAACGACCGTATCTGCACTAAATATGCAACCCACAAAATTTATAATATGTTTATGAATGACCGTATCGACACTAAGTGTGCAACCCACAGAATTTATAATATGTTTATGAACGACCATATCAGCACTAAGTGTGCAACCCACGAAATTCATAATAAGTTTATGAACAACTATATCGGCACTACGTGTGCATACCAAAGAACTTATTATGATTTGAAACAATAAATTTGCATTTGATAGTTATGATATATTGATGTATTGTTTTCACCTCATTAGGGTTATTACCTCACTAAGTAAATACTTAACGTGTGTTTATTTCACGCGTAGGTTTTAGCAAGTAGCGTAAGGAGTGCATCTAACATTATCATTCAAGGGTCGTCTCATCAGTAATTGTATGACAACTATGTCTACTTTTGATATTGTTAGCTGTCATGTAATAGATTTATTATAATGCTCTGAAA